TTGGCGGGATTAAGAAGACTGTGGGGAGCTAGGGATGCAGGGTACTTGAGCCCCCTTACTGACTTCCTGCCCCCAGTTTATCCTCTCTCTGCTTTTCAGGCTCACTCTCTCTCTGCTCCTTGGTCTTCTCTTTGAGCCTCTCAGTTTCCGCTTCTTTAAGGCTGATGGCCTGAGCTGAGTCATGAACTGACTATCAGACAGTCTGTTCCTCTGGCAGTGGAAGGTCCCTCTTCTTTGCCCCACCTCTAGTCTCCAGCTGCAGCAGCAGGGCACTGGCGCAGATATAAATGAACATTACTTGGAATGCTGATACTACAGAAATAGTCATAAGCTGTTAAAAGCTATCTAATTGGAACTGCTATAAACTTTTTAGTTAAGTTTTTTTTATTGACGATTGGCAAATTGATTAATTTGGTAAAGTTTAATTAAATTATAAATAGCCTAATGTGGTAAATATAGGAACAAAATGTAAAGGATTTTAGCAAGGACCAAAAAGAAATCAGCATAACTAGAAAAATTCCCATCGAAAATGCTGATTTTGGCAACATTAAGAAGAAAAATATGTTTCTCAGCAGACTAAATTTTTTAGGATCTTTCAACGAATTGAATATTTCTTAAAATGCATGAAGCTGGAAGACACAAAAAGAAAGTGGTATGTGACATTTACACCTGAAGTCACTCCTACTCAAAGCTGGCCAAAAAACAAACAAATCCAAAGCAAAACAGTCTCTATATAATAAGATTCCGATTTACAGTAACCCCTTCTTATCCACAGAGAATACATTCCAAGATCCCCAGTGGATGCCTAAAATCAGGGATAGTACCAAACCCTATATGCACTATGTTTTTTTTCTATTTATACCCCTTCACCCCCCAGGGGTGTCCAATCTGTGGCCCAGCATGGCTATGAATGTGGCCCAACAGAATTTATAAAACTGTAAATTTACTTAAAACATTACTTTGTTTTATTATTAAGTTTTATTACTTAAATATGTACATTTTCTATATTAGTGATCACAAACTTGGGACCTGTTTGATGATTTAAAAGATTATTGGAAAGGGCCGCTGCATAATTAGGGTTATTATGTGAGGACTTTTTTGCTTATCTGTGGTGGCAGATATCACGAAAATCATGCACAGACCTTTTATTTGCTAATCAGTTTTCGTTAGTGTTTTTGTCTTTAATGTGTGGCCCAAGAGAACCCTTCTTTAAGTGTGGCTCAGAGATGCCAAAAGGTTGGACATCCCTGACTGGAATCACCTGTTGATGCCTCTTTGGCATATCTGAATTGCCAGCATCACTGCTCTTGTACTTTGGGGCCATTATTAAGTAAAATAACAATGACCCGGATATAAGCATTTAGATACTGGGACAGTTGATCTGATAATCCAGTTAGCTAAGCGACTAATGGGCAGGCTGCATGTGGCACATACACAATGTGGAGGGGCTACAAAGGGACCATTCCCATCATGGGGGGAATGGAGCTGGATGGCGTGAGATTTCATCACACTACTCAGAATGGTGGCCCAATTTAACAATTATCAATTGTTTACTTTGGGAACTTTTCATTTAATGTTTTTGGACCACTGTTGACTCATGGGTAACTGAAACAGTAGAAAGCAAAACTAAGGATAAATGGAAAGAACTCTCTATAAAACCATGTGTGTATAAAGCCATGCACTGGGAAATCCGTGCAAAGTAACAGTAAACTCTTAAGGTGAACACCTAACTCAGGAAAGTAAGATTTGGTCAGGGTGACTGGGGGGTATCTTCAACTTTATACAAAGATACATATATTTTCTTTATACAAAGATATAAATAATAAACATGTATAAATATGGGAAAATGTACTTCAGATTTCAAATTCTTATTAGTTGTCTTAGAAATGAACTTTTAAATGTAGTTTAATAGGAAATTTTAGAGAAAAACAACTATAAATAATGGGTATATTTTTACAGTTTGAGTTATATATTTTTCATTTTATTTTTTAAAGATTATTTATTTATTTATTTTTAGAGGGGAAGGGAAGGAGAGAGGAAGAGAAATATCAATGTATGGTTGCCTCTTGTGCATCCCCTGCTGGGAACTGGCCTGCAACCCAGGCATGTGCCCTGACTTGGAATTGAACCTCAATCCTTTGGTTCGCAGGCCCGCGCTCAGTCCACTGAGCTATGCCAGCCAGGGCCGAGTTATATATATATTTTAAATACTTAGAATGCCTGGTTGTTAATTAATCAAAGTATAATGTAATAAACACTACTTAAAAGGAGTTTTTAGCCTAAGAAACAGATACATAGAAAATTTAGGAAGATTACACATAAAAATACAGGGTCTGGCAGAAGTAGCGCCTACTTGAGTGTGGTTGATAGGGTACATGAATGTCTTGTACAAGAGGGCCAGCCATTTGAACATGTCATCTAAAATGTCATATGGTGTGCTTGAGTGTAACATTGTTATGTTACAGAATTAAATTCTTGAGATTTTGTAATAAAAAGGGGTGTTATTTGTGCTGGACCCTGTATTATGTTTTTATAGTATTAAACTTTCTACTAATTTTTAATTGTATATTTTGAAAAAACAAGTATAGACTTTAATTTTATTCCTACAATTCCTGATCAATTCTTTCAAAAATTAAAACTGAACGCCCTATAACTCATACCATATTGCCCTGAAATGGCTAGGAAAAAGCAGATAGTTTGAATGAGTCTAGGCTTCTCTAATATTTTATTTCTTATCCAGTTTATATATGGCCTCCAAATAGCATTCGTTACGGTACAGAGAATTTAACAAACATCCGTATACCCACCATTCATAATCTATAAATACTAATATTGTGGTATTTACTTCTAATCCTTTTTATAAATAAAATATTTCTGATGAAGTTGCTGTGACATTTTTACTCTTCCCTAGACCCATTCTTCTCTTCTCTGAGGCAACCAATATTATAAATTTGGTATGTATTCTTCCAATCTATGTTTATATATTTATTATATATGTATGTATTCATAAATACATATTATTTAAGTGCATGTGTTTGTGTGTGTGCACATGCACAGGTGTACTATGCATTTTACAAATAACATTGTTTTCAAAATCTAGTCATACCTATAAAACTATCATTCATGTTAACTTCCAAATAGTACCTTATGACAGTATATATTGCTATTTTCCTATTGATGGGCATTTTGGTTGCTTTCAATTTTTTTGCATTACAAAAGTGATTCAATTAACATACTTATACAAGTATCCTTATACACATGTGTGAGAATATATTTCTAGGAATGAAACTGTTTGGTTGAATGGCATTTCCAACTTTACCAGATATTGCTTCATTGCTCTCCTAAGTACTTACAATTTATACTTCCACTGAGCACTGTATGTGAAATGTTCCTGAAAGTTTTGCATGTCAAATGTTTTCATTTTTGCCAATCCAGTGGTTATGAAATGGGTATTTTGTTTTTATTTTATTGAACACACACAGTTTTTTGCAGAAAAGAAAATCTAGGGAAAGTTAAGCCAGAAACTAATAGAAATGGTGACTTATAGGGGATAAATAGAAGCAAAAATTGGGATGAGAGTCAGACTTCTCTGAATGTATTTTTTAATATAGTTTTGACTTTTGAACTATTTGTTTTAAATATTAAAAAATGTAAATTCTACAATTAAATCCACACAGAAACAAATGAGCCCATGCCTATGCCTATCAAATTGATAAGATAGGTACATAGAAAAAAAAAACAATTCAAATAATGTTTGGATAGAATGCTGTGACTGTATATTTTTAGTAGAACTTATTCAAAACTTCTAAGATATCTTGAATTTTACTTAGCTGTTGATAGTGGTATTAGTGTAGTAATTTTAAAAGTATTTACATGTATGAAAGAATAGAGCAAATGAGTAAATATGTTGATGCTATAAGGAACCAGAGTTCTCACTGTTGGATAGGTAAATATTTATATTTGTATTAGATATATGGAGAAAGTAAAGAAGAACTAGGTGGTGCTGGATTTGAACAGAAGTCATTTGTATGAACTTATGACTTAATAATGCATACATATATAGACATACATATATATACATGCATGTTTACCTATCCATGCAAAACTGTGTATTTGTATATAAACAGCTCTGTACACTGAAAGTATGCTAGAAGCAATGACATCTCAGAGCAGTAAAAAAAATCCTAATTTCTAAATACTATTTGCCAGTAAAGGCAATCGGTGCTCCTTAAAGAAATGTCCACTTCCTGATCTGAGGCAGAGAAAAATACATGGTGAATCTGGAATATATTGTTTTTCAGAAAGCAAAAAGGACTCAGAGAATTAGAGAAAATTATTTTTTCTAAAAAAGGAGCTTTCACTAGTTAGATATATCTTTTTAAAAAGTTAAGGATTAGAACATATTAAATAACTAATAGAATTCCTAAGCTTAGTGATTTTTTAAAATGAGAAGTAAAGTCCTCTTTACAGAAAAGTGTCAGCTTAAAAATATAGAAGCGATGATGGAATTAGAAAAGCCACTACTGTAGTGAGGATGAGCTACTTTTCATGTTTATTGGCTATTTAGATATCCTCTGATACTCACATTCTATACCAATTGTGTTTTATTAACTGAATTGTATAGTCTTTATATACTTTAGACATTGTAATGCAAATATCTTTACTTGGTCTCTAATTTATTTGTTACATTTTGTGGCAAATTTAATACATCTTTACATCTTTACCTATCCTCAGGATCATAAAGATAGCCTCCTATGTTTTCTTCTGAGGTTGGATTCTATTTAGCTTGTTTTTCCAAGGGGCTAACAGTGAGGCACTGATATGTGACTGGTGGAAGATACAAGCCACTACAGCAGCCTCCTTCCATCAATGCTATCTTTTGGTTCTAAGAGGTTTTTCAGCATGATTAATTGAAGACTACTATTTAAAATAATATAAAATAAAGTTATAGTTTCAGGATATTAAAAGATAGAAAAGAGTAAGTTATATAATCTTCTTACATGAGTGAACAAGATATCCTTCCTGAGCTCTTCAGAACTTTCATTTGGTGTCCAAGCTTTAGCAAACTGCAGGAAATCCCATTTTTGCTTATCACCTTCCTCAGCCTGAAGTTGTTCCTTCCTACCATTCAATGTGCTCCCAGTAACCTGAGTCTGTAGGATGGAAAAGCGTATGAATTTGATAACATTCACTTCACAGCTGATATTTTCTAACCAGTAATTTGATTTTGCATTTGAATCACAAGTAATCCATTAAAGGAAATCCTATTGTTTCAATGTATCATGAGCTATAGTAATATAATATTCATAATCACAGCCAGATTACCAAGTCAGTGATTCCTATTCTCATGAAGAGGTCTTAACTAGAGGAAAACTTTTACTCTAATATTTATAAACTTTGAAATTGAACCTACATATGATTGGCCATTTTGAATATCTATACTCAGTGCTTGAAAACTATCCTCTAATCCTTAGTTAAATCCTTTCCAAAAACAACCCTCAAGGTTAGAAGAGATGACTCAGGACACAGAGCAATGTCCCTCTTCTAGAGTCAGGTACAAGGTGTCCTCTATCCAATATTAGTTCTGAGTTCAAGATTCCTTCTGAGAAAGGGTTTATTTTTACTTGATGAAAAAGATCTGGTGCTTGAAAGCATTCTGGTTTCTTGCTAGCTAACCTCTCCTCTACCCTCTAAAATGGTGGTAGAAGAAGGGCTTGAGAGACAATAGGAATACATGTGAATTCATGCCTCTCTCTCATTACAGAGGATAGCAGGTACAGTACTAACAATTGAAACCTTTTCTGAACTTGGTCTCTATTAAAATCAGTATCTTACTATACTTAAGTATCCTTTGCCTGAAAACACTAAAACTCCACCTCTTAACTCATGTAGACTATGGATAATAATGAGTAAGTTGGTAACCAGGCTTAAATTCAAGCTTTACCTTGCGATTCAACATTCCCCACATAAGGGTGTCTAGAGTCCCATTTGCAATGAGGTAGTGAATATTCACAGAATTGCACTGTCCAATTCGGTGAGCACGGTCTTCTGCTTGTTTTAAATGTCCAGGGTCCCAGTACAACTCAGCAAACACAACATGAGTTGCAGCAGTAAACGTCAAACCCTTAGCAAAATAAAGTGAAGAAACTGAGATGTAATGAACTGAGAATATAACATAGAGCTGCGTATAGTAGTCTTTCTGAACACATTAAATAGACGAGGATGCCGAAGGACATAGAAACAAATCAATCTTTCACAGTAAGCCGAATTACAAAAATTTAATTCATGAAAGGCACATGAAGACTATTTACTCCAAGATAGTCAGGTGAACTACAAAACACATTTAAGATGTATTTCCAAAGTCAGTTTGATGATTATACACAAAATCACTTTATCCTCTGATGAAGACTAGACTCATATTACCACTGGAAATCTAATAAAATACATTATAAATGAGAATATAATTTATAACACATGGTATCCATAGCAACTAGGCAGAGAGCAATGACATCCTCTTTTCATTAATTCGTATTGCTGTTCTATAAAGCAAGAAAATCATGTCTTTAGTCATACTGTTCTCTTCCTATGAAATTTCTTACATTATATTCCAAAGGCCCTGAAGTTTACTGGGCCTGTATCTAAATAGATAGAACAATAGCATTTTACATCAGTTTGAAATAGTACAACATTAAAACTATTAGCTAAGTCTTGTTTTAAATGAAATAATCAAATCTCCTCAAACTAAAATTGAGTAAAAAATGCATGATTTTAAAGCTGGCAGGCTGAGTGAAATACAAACCATGCTTATGCTATTGCCACACACAGGGGCTGGCAGAAATACCAACCATCCTTTGAGAGTACCAACTACTCCAAGCTGTTGTTCACATACACTGGAAGTTCTGAGTGAGCAACTTTTGTGACTACTGTGCTGTTTTTTGGCATGTTATTTTAACTTAAAGGGTTTTATATCACATAACATATCATACCAGCATTCATTAAATGGTGGCATTCAAGCTGAAAATTCACTGAAGATTAATCACTTTGGAACAGAAGTTAGAAGTAATAGAAACAACCACCATGCTACTACTATACTGCTACTTAGGACAAGAAATGCCACAAAATATTAGAGATAATGCTGACAATTAAGAAATATTTAAATAAGAACACTTTAAGCATGTAAAAAGCATCTCATGACCATATAAGAATTAAGGGAAAATATGCTGACAAGATCAACATCACCCTGAGATACTACTAAACTACAATGGAAGATTCACATGCCTCAACGACAAGTTCTTTCTACTTTCCTTTATTCCTGTGAAGACACTAGTATTCAAGTATATGAGTTTTGAATTATACAAGGTCATTAGAAATATACTCTTGAATAAAATATGAGTGTCCTGTGCAATTATAATTTCAAAGTCTTTTATCAGGCCACTCCTAAACTCTCTTGCCTGGCATCTCCTACATTTATTCTCCCATATTATGAGTATTCCATTTGTAATTTTATGCTCGGTTTGATAATATGTTTGTTCTATGTCTGGAATATTCTAACAAATATTAAACTCAGATTACTGCAAGTGTAATCCAACATGAAGGAAATGTTGAGACAACCCTCCTTTTAAATAGAATTCCTAGTGAGTTCTAGAACCAAGCAAAACTGTATGTATGTGTTTATAAATCCTCATGGAGTTTCTCTGTGTATACATTTTTCTGGGTAAAAGCAAATTTTTGCTTCTGGTTCATATTTGAGTCCACAGGAGATGCCAGGTATGGATATACCAGGTTGGAAGCGCAGTCATATATTCAATTATTCTTCCCCTATGTTAAATATCCTGGCTTTAAGACGTTTACATCAAAATGTTTCAGAATATTAGTAGAAAAAAGTCCAGAAGGATTCCTTCTTCCGTAGCCTGGCAGAGACTGTTATTGCCTTCCCTAGTATCTATTCTTTTCTATAATTTTGTATATATTTTTAATCATTTTTTATTGTCGTTCGAATATAGTTGTCTCTATTTTCCCACCACCACTTTCCTTCACCCCACCCACCCCCACCTCCCACTCTCAATCCTACCCTCCTTTGGCTTTGTCCATGGGCCCTTTATTCATGTTCCTTGACAACCCTGTCCCTTTTTTCCCCCTGTTATTTCCCACCCTCCTCCCCTCTAATTACTGTCAGATTGTTCTTTACCTCAATGTCTATTCTTTTTTTAAAAAAATATTTTATTTATTTATTTTTAGAGAGAGGGGAAGGGAAGGAGAAAGAGTGGGAGAGAAACATCAATGTGTGGTTGCCTCTCATGTGTCCCCTATTGGGGACCTGGCCTGCAACCCAGGCATGTGCCCTGACTGGGAATTGAAATAGCAACCCTTTGTTTCACAGGCCCATGCTCAATCCACTGAGCTACACCAACCAGGGCCTCAATGTCTATTCTTAATCCTTGGCAGTGTTACACCTGATTTTTAGCATCATTACCTGGAATAAATGCTACTTTCCCCAGCTTGTCTTGAAGTTAGTTGTGGCCATGGGACTAACTGCAGGCCAGTGAAATGTAGCATGCCTTCCTCCAGGCAGCTGTCTGTATCAAAGACATGCTGGAGGAACTATAGCAGCCCTCTTAGAAATGAGATACCTGCTAAGAGCGGAGAAGCAGAAAGCCAGAAGGAGCCTAGGCCCTAAGGGTTTTGTGGAACCACCACACTAGATTTGGGCTATCTACATGACAGAATAAAACTCTATGCATTTAAGTCTATCTTAATTTGAGTTTTCATTTACTTGCAGCCAAATGTAATTCTAAGGGACAAACTAGGGGGACTCCATAAAGAGTGATCAGATAGAAAAGTTATTCTTTAGGCCACCTTGCCTCACAGACTCTGTTGATGATAGTCAAGTAACATAAGTGCTATAAGAAAGGGATGGGAAAATTCTATGCAGATTCGAAAGAAGCAAAGAAAGTATTACAGTCAGACAAACTATATTTTTCTAGGAAATTCTTTCCTTGAAAATGTAGGAAGCTTTCAGTCAGAGGTGTTCAGGCCTCCTTCTATTATACTTTCTAGCACTCTCCAAAACAGAATGAATATTGATTACATCAGATATGAGATATAAAGTTATAATTATGGTTAATGGCATTTTTATTACTCCAAAGGCATTTTATTACCAAGTTAAGATCTGAAATTTCTTACCTGACCAGCAGCCTGAATGCTTAGGATAGCAACACGAGTCTCAGGATCCTTTTGAAACTGATTAACCAGATGTATTCTTTCTGAGGATGGAACACTTCCATCTATCCTAACATAACGAGTCTAGCATTAACAAAGGAAATGGCAAAATTAGGACAAGACCCTACGTACCCATCTTATTTTATATTCTTTATGGTTTATTTTTATTTTCACATAATAAAACAGAAACTAGTTAAGATGACAGGTTGATAAATGTTACACAAGAAAAATATTAACCAAATTTCTTAATAGCGTCTGATAACAATTTTATATCTTTTAATCTTTTAAGCTACTTGAGGTTAGGATCTATGTCCAATTCATTTTCATACCATCATTGCAACGCTGAATGTTTTGTACGTAATAGGAGTTCATGACTGAATTAAGCTAATGTTGCCTCAGTAGAATTCTATGTAAATTAATATGCCAAATTAATGCTGGATCAGAGTAACTTTCAAGTTACAGAATCACTAACTCCAAAGTAAAAGTAAGATCAGATGTTGCAAGAAAGGAAAATGAGGATTCTGTACACGTACTAGAAATTCATGAAGGGTGGTATGTCTGTGTCTGAAATATCCCAATATGAACTGGGAAATTATCTTTTTTAATGTACAATTTGAGTTCTTCCCCCCCCCCATTATTAAACTTAAAAGAAAAATGTGTTATGGTCATGTCCCTTGAGGTGGGGACCAAGACAACCGCCCACATTTTTAAAAAGTAGGGAAACAGTTAAGTGCTAAACTGAACAGTGCTGTCTTTTAAGAATGATTTGATTTGAGTTGAGAAAAGGGAGCAATCAGAGTGTGTTAGAAAAGCTGAAAAGAGTGTATTATCAGCTTTGTAAAACAAGTATAAGCCCTGAATTTCAAATAATCTCATTTATATATGTATTTTTATTGAAAACATAGTCTTAAATAGGTGATGACAGAAATATTCACTTACATAAGAAGACAGTCAAATTAATCAATAAATAGAATGCCCTTTATTAACTTTCTCTGTCTTCATAAAACAGATAGAAATTGACCAGTGATCCATTTAATATCCATTAAGGTAGATTATAAAATCTTCTGAGGGTATTTCTAAAGAAGACACATTGTCAGACTCTAGAGCATTTGAGAGAAATTCACCTCCAACATCATGACTACCTAACATTTGTTAGGTAATGTTAAATGGGATTCTAAATATATCAGTAAAGCAGAAGTGAGAAAGAGAGATAGACTGTTACTCTTGGAATACATTCTAGTACTTCTAAGGTATACTAAAATCAGAATGAGAACATATTTTGGATCTATAATTATTGCTCAATCATCTAAAATTATTTCTAAGATTAACTCTTCCTCTGCGGGTGTTTTACAGACACTATAAGATAATCAGTGAGGAAGTATATTTCAATGTATAGTACTTTATTATATTATCATAAATCTTTCAATAAAGAAAACATTAGTTTTACATATTTCGTAATGTCAATGAACCTATTAGCTAGTGCTTGAAAAATCTATACTGTACAAAGGGATAAAAAATATGGCTTTATTCCTCCATAAAAAAAAAAAAACCAAACTACCTACACCAGAAGGAGGTTCTGCTGTTACACATATATTAAGCTCACATAATTTGTCAGGAAATTTCTTCCAGATGATGCTATCACTGACAGAGTTGCTGGGAAACACGGTGGACCTAAGTAGAGGCAGGAAGGCCAGCAGGCTTGTTGGAGCTTACCTGGGAGATTCCCTGGACAATATGTTATAAATTCATTTACACCAAATCTTAATAACCCTATTCTAAGGAGTATACAGCCTGGAGTTTAAAAGGCAGGACTATAACTGGGTACAAAAATCAGTGGAATTCATTCTTCCTTTTGCCTGGACATCACCCACATTCCAGGGCTGCCTTGTGGGTAAACAAAAAATTTAACTTGTAACTGCCTACACATATCTTAAATGGTATACCATTAACAAAAACCAAATGCACAGCACTCCTATCAAGGCAGTAAATTTTAATCAATTCAGATCATTTGATTAGTGAAGAATTATAACACTGGTATAAAAGGCAAACTTTAATAGGATACCATCAATACAATAGTAATATAATATCAGTATAATTTTTAAGAAAAATATCTATAATTTATATACCACCATGAAAAGCAGGCAAAATGCAATTATAAGACAACTGATGTTTAGTATATTAAAAAGGTACACCCTAAAAGTACTTTATGGACAAGTGGTGACATACCTTGTTTTCTATGACTGCTTCTGTGCAAGCTTGGAGCATGATTACATGGTGAGCAAAAACCAGAAATTTAAGTGAATCATTCTGAAGCATCATCTTAATATAATCCTTTACAGCACCTGCCTAAATATTAAATGTTAAAACTTATTAATACAATAAATTATTTATTAAATATCATTTTACTTTCTTTTAATAAATCGAGGAAAGCTCAAACATCAATACATTTTTATGAACTTAACTGCTTTGTTTTCTAAAAAGCCTAAGGAAACAGAATCAAATATAATAGTAAGTGGGAGAAAAGGGACAAAAGAGGGGGAAAAAAGAGGAAACAAGGACAATATAAAAGTCAGAAAAAATACAAAAAAAGAGTTTCGATGGAAAGTACATACTCAAGTAGACTATGGCCAAGAAGAGGGTTTGTTTAGAAGGTAATTTTTTAAAAAGCTCATATATAAGGCTAAGTGAAATGAAATTAAGAAGAAAATAAAAGGTAAAAAATGAGATGAATAGCATTTTTACTTTATAAAAAGGGAAGACTAAAGAAGAATAAGAAAGCTGGGACTAAAGCTTCATGATTAAGAAAAGCTGATTTATTAATTTTTTTAAGCTAAAAATTTAAGTAGAATTAAAAACAGGGCATTTTAAGGAAGAATGAAAAATGAGGAGGTTCAGTTTGTCTTCAGGATGGAGAAGGTCACAGCAGAGGCTGGAGTGATGAGATTAAGAGGATAGAAGGGAGGTCGGAGAGAACGAGGAGACACAAAGAAACTGTACTGAAGAAAAGAAAAAAAATGCAGATTGAATAGGCTTTTCTTAGTTAACTTGAGGCCAAGTTACCTATTAAGAGTAAGAAATTAATATGAGATGAATCAAATACAACACATTTAAAGTGGGTAGCATGAATTAAATCTAAAACATGAATATAGCTTCTTAACTGTTAAAAATTAGTTACTTTGAAATTTTGGGAAAAGATAGTAGGCTGAACACATTTAACCTCCACTCTCAGTGCTATATTTATTTATTTACTTTTTTTTATTGTTGTTCAAGTACAGTGTCTCCATTTCCCCCCCAACACTCCCCCTGACCCTAGCCATCCCGACCTCCCGACCTCGATCCTAAACCCCTTTGGCTTTGTCCATGTGTTTCTTGACCACCCTTCCCCCTTCTCCCCAGATTATCTCCTCCCACCTCCCCTCTGGTTACTGTCAGGTTGTTCTTAATTTCGATGTCTCTAGTTATATTTTGCTTGCTTGTTTGTTTTGTTGATTAGGTTCTACTTATCAGTGAGATCATATGGTGTTTGTCTTTCACCACCTGGCTTATGTCACTCAGCATAATGCTCTCCAGTCCCATCCATGCTGTTGCAAAGGGCAGGAGCACCTTCTTTCTTTCTGCTGCATTGAATTCCATTGTGTAAAGGTAGTGTATTTCTTTGATCCACTCATTTACTAATGGACAACTTAGGTTGCTTCAAGCATCTGGCTATTGTAAATTGTGTTGCTATGAACACTGGGGTGCATAGGTTCTTCTGAACTGGTGTTTCAGGATTCTTAGCATATAATCAATCCCAGCAATGGAATTGCTGGGTCAAAAGGCAGTTCCATTTTTAGTTTTCTGAGGAAATTCCATACTGTTTTCCACAGTGGCTACCCCAGTCTGCATTCCCACCAACAGTGCATTAGGGTTCCCTTTCCTCCATGTCAGCTCAGTTAGATATTTAAGTAATAGTAGTGAGTATAGGCAGAAAGAGATTTGGAGAGGGGCTGATAGCAATTAACACTTAAGAAACTAAAAAGTAGACAGATGCCTGGTAACTGAGTAGCCAACCTAACAGTTCCTAAACTGTCAGTATGAAAAACTGAGAAGCACCTGGTTTACAATGAGTAATCTTAAAAAAATCAGGAAATAACACCTCTAGAAGGAGGATGGAGATGTAGCTAAAACTGTGAAGACTGATTAAAAAAATATTTAGAAAGCTGAATATGTGCAACACTCATCCATATCCTGTCTCTACCCATTCCATACAATAAGTGACTTCCCAACACATCCTGGCAGAAAACTAGAGATTTATTTTCCAGAGAGGGTAAAATAGAGGGTATCTGGATGGAGGAATCCCACATTGGTGGTAGGCTATTCTATAAGGGGATTAAATAAAAGTTACATAATAAATACTGAGACCTGCTCTTTTCCCTTAATCTTCTTACCTGGATGGCAAAAATCACACAAATCCAGGAATCACAAAGAGTCCCAATCAAAGGGAACCCAAAGAGGCCCACTTTAAGACACATCATCATTAAAATGACAAAATTCCGAGACAAAGAGAGAATCTTAAAGGAAGCAAGGGACAAAAAGGAAGTGACATACAAGGGAGCCCCAATAAGGTTAACTACTGACTTCTCAATGGAAACACTCCAAGCAAGAAGAGAATGGCAAGAAATATTCCAAGTAATGAGAACCAGAGGCCTACAACCAAGGCTACTTTACCCAGCAAGGCTCTCAATCAAGATAGAAGGCCAAATAAAGAGCTTCCAAGACAAAAGAAGTCTAAAAGAATATGCCCCCACCAAACCAGCTCTACAAAAAATACTAAAATAACTGCTTTAAGGAAAGGAAGGAAAAGAGACAGAGAGGAACATAGGTACAAAAATGGCAATGAATAAGTACCTATCAATAATAATCTTAAATGTAAATGGATTAAATGCTCCAATCAAAAGACACAGAATAGCTGAATGGATAAGAAAGCATGACCCACACATTTGCTGCTTACAAGAGACCCACCTCAGGACAAAAAACCATCACAGACTAAAAGTGAAGGGCTGGAGACAAATTTTCCAAGCAAATGGACAAGAAAAAAAAGCTGAGGTAGCAATTCTCATATCAGACAAAATAGACTTCAAAAAAAGGGCCATAAAGAGACACCCAGAAGGTCACTTCATAATACTCAAGGGAAGAATCCACCAAGAAGACATTAACATCGTAAATATATATGTACCCAACAGAGGAGCACCCAAATATATAAAGAAAATCCTAGAGGACTTCAAGAAAGATATTGACAGCAACACAATTATAGTAGGGGATTTTAACACCCCACTGTCAAAAATGGACAGATCTTCTGAACAAAATATTAACAAAGATATTGTGGCATTGAACAATGCCTTAGATGAAATGGACTTAACTGATATATAGAGAGCCCTTCATCCCAAAGAAGCTAAATACATATTCTTTTCAAATGCACATGAAACATTTTCAGAGACAGACTACATGATAGGACACAAAACGAGCCTCAACAAATTCAAGAAAACTGAAATCATACCAAGCATTTTCTCCGACCACAGGGGACTGAAATTTGAAACCAACCCCAAAGGAAAAAACCCAAAACACCCAAAATCATGGAGACTGAATGGCATGCTATTAAAGAACAAATTGGCCATGAATGAAATTAGGAAAGAAATCAAAAAGTTTCTGGAAAAAACTGAAAATCAACTCACAATAACCCAAAACTTTTGGGACACAGAGAAGGCAGTCCTGAGAGGGAAATTCATAGCAATACAGGCCTATCTAAAAAATATAGAAACATTTCAAACAAACAACCTAACCCTAGGTCTACAAGAACTCGAGGAACAACAACAAAGACAGCCCAGAGCAAGTACAAGAAAGGAAATAACCAGGATCAGAGCAGAATTAAATGACACAGAGACTAAAAGCACAATTCTAAGAATCAGTGAATCCAGGAGCTGTTTTTTTGAAAAGATAAACAAAATCAACAAGCCATTAAGTAGGCTCATCAAGAAAAGAAGAGGACCCAAATAAACACAATCAGAAATGAAAGAGAAGAAGTTGCAACTGACACCACAAAAACAGAAGGAATTATAAGAAATTACTATGAAGAACTGTATGTGAAGAAATTTGAAAACCTAGGCGAAATGAACAAATTTCTAGAAAAATATAATCTTTCAAAGCTGAGTGAGGAAGAAGCAAAAAGCCTGAACAGACCAATAACAGCAGATGAAATTGAAGCAGTAATCAAAAACCTCCCATCACACAAAAGCCCTGGACCAGATGATTTCAAAGGAGAATTCTACAAAGCATTTAAGGAAGAGCTAACTCCTATCCTTCGCAGACTATTGCAAAAAATCCAAAATGACGGAAGACTCTCAAACTCTTTTTATGAAGCCAGCAGCATCCTAATTCCAAAACCAGATAAAAACACAACAAAGAAAGAAAACTTCAGGCCAATATTGCTGATGAACATAGATGCTAAAATCCTCAACAAAATATTGGTGAATTGCATCCACCAATACATTAAAAAGATCATACACCATGACCAAGCGGGATTCATCCCAGGGATGCAAGGTTGGTTCAATATTCACAAATCGGTAAATGTAATACATCACATAAACAAAAGCAAAGACAAAAATCACTTAATCATATCAATAGATGCAGAAAAAACTTTTGATAAGCTTTTCTTGATACCCATTCATGATAAAAACACTCAGCAAAGTGGGAATAGAGGGAGCAGTCCTCAACATAATAAAGGCCATATATGAGAGAGCCAACATCATACTCAATGGGCAAAAACTAAAATCCTTTCCACTAAGATCAGGAACAATACAAGATTGTCCACTTTCACCACTTCTATTCAATATAGCATTAGAAGTTTTAGCCACAGCAATCAGACAAGAAAAGAAAATAAAAGACATCCAAATCGGAAAGGAGGAAACAAAACTGTCACTGTTTGCAGATGACATGATAGTGTACATGGAAAATTCTACAGACTCTACCCAAAAACTGCTCGACGTAATAAATTAATTTGGCAAAACAGCGGGATACAAAGTCAATATCTAGAAATCAAAGCCATTTTTGTATACTAACAGTGAAACAGCAGCTGAAATCAAGAAAAAAATCCCATTCAATAAAGCAAAAAGAAAAATAAAATATCTGGGAATAAACTTAACCAAAGAGGTAAAAGAACTGTATACAGAAAACTACACAACAGTGAAGAAAGAAATCAAGGAAGACGTAAACAAATGGAAACATATACCATGTTCATAGAATGGAAGAATTAACATCATCAAAATGTCCATACTACCCAAAGCAATTTACAGATTCAATGCAATACCTAT